TACTATACTTTTCATCAATAATACAAGATGTTTTATCCCCATTACAGGACAACATGATGTTCTGTGACTATTAGAGCAAAATTCGCGCATTCTTTAGGTTTGTTTTATCAAATTTTATAAAATAAGTTTCCATAGTTGTCATTATTTAAAAAATCAAGATAATTTTCTTAGCTGTTGTCAAAAAGAGAAACTTATTTAAATAAAGAATGTATAGTTTCCATAAATGTAATCCTCTTTGATTTTACTCTGGGTAAATAATGTGCAAAAATTCAAAATAAAGTCTGAAGCGTTTTTTCTTCGGAAGTTATAAGAAAGGTTAACGTTTTTGAACCCTTCCCAAATAAAATTGCATGAAACAAATGGGCGATTAATGGCTAAAAAAATTAGATATCATAAATATCTTCTCAGATTTCTTTATTGTTCTTCTCATAAAAATGTAGGAAAGATTAAATTTATGAAAATAACAGACATGACTAAATCAGTATGCCTCTGACATTCGAACTCAGGGACCAGGCAATATTTATCACCAGGGTCAATCTAATTAAAATTAGATGTTAGATCCGCTCGTATACTCGCTACACTAACGTTAGTGTGTGAGCGGATCTAACATCCAATTTTAATTAGATTGCACCAGGGTGGGATCGGTGAAAAAACCCAATAATAATACTAATTGATTTTAAAAAAAGTCTTGCTCCCACACCTTAAAGAATGAAAAAAAGTATAAGTCCCGTCCTTGTTTAGAAAAGTCAAATTAATATTCCTACATATATAAAATGATCTGAATTATCAGCACCTACATGTATCTAAAGGGGTGGGTATAGATGACTATCACTTGTAGTTACAGACTCCATTCAGTTGAAGTAAAATTGGCATTTTCCTTTTCAGAACCAAAATATTTTGGAAATTTAAATATGATTTTGGGATAACATGCAACTTGGAAATGTATAAAAGACGGGTTAAATCACGTAAATAAAAAATATTTGAGCCATATTGCATTTGAACAATAAAGGAAGATGAGGGATATCTCTGATAGCTTTGGTACACGCCTTGAAAATCTAATTATCCCCTCGCAACGGATTTGGAGGGTATATAGTAACGCAATCCATCATGTGTATGTGTTTGTTTGTGGGTTATGTCCTGTGCGAAACGGAAGTGACGTAATTTGCATCGGGATCGATGTCGAATGCTCCCTTGATATATAGACAAGCTTTTTGCGAGGAGATGCTCCTCTTTGCGATGCCCTTTTTAAATTTATTTTTAATATGTATTTACAGGTGTGAAAAATCAGTCTTAGAATTCTTAATGCTACTGATTTATAAAATTAGAGCTTCTGATATTTAATGAAAACTTGAATTTTCATACAAAGCATGGATCCATCAATCATCATGTTAGGATCTGTCAATCCATATGGGTGTGTTCTCTTAAATGACCATAACTTTTTTTAAATTTTTCATTGAAACATGGTAAATATGGTGTTGCTTTACTAGTTATAGCATGTACTCTCTTAAACTAAAAATAATGTATTGTAAAAAAAAAAACCCTAAATTTCCTTTGAGAGCATCTATCATCGCGTAAAGGTCAGTCAATTGCTTTTCGTGTGTTCTCTTATCTAACCATAACTTTTTTTTTATTTTTCAATAAAATAAGGTATATTTGGTATTATTTTTCTTATAATAGCCTATACTTTGTACATCTAAAATGATATCTTAATTTCCAGACAATTTAGAAATGTTAAAGGATACAGATGACAGATTATCACTCAATGTCAGGTCTAAATTGTTGAAAATGGAAGGAACCTGTGATTCTATAGGGCCTCTTTTAGGCCTGTAAATTACTATACATATATCACTATGAAATGTTCTCTGAATTTTTATGCTGCGTTTGACCAGCACTTAAGGCGTCAATGATTTCAGTTAAGGAAAGTGGTCTGTTACCAGCTTATCTTTGGGGATTTACAAACCAAACTTATATATACGATGCATCTTTTTTAAAAGTCATTTTTCAGATCTTTGAGACCGGTTAAGGAAATCTTTTTGGTCTGTTTTCAGCTTATAAAAAGGGGTACACAAATTAGACTTCCTCCTGAGGTGCATCTACATATCGATGATCACTTCAATGGGTGCTTTGCATGCTGTATCTGGCCTACACTGCATACTTCTGTGATTCATTAAGAACAGTATTTAATTTTCACTTATTACAAGGAGTTTACAAAGCAAACTTCCTTAGCGAATCTCTGGACGTTCTGTTTAATGCATTTGTACAAATCTTTCTTCTTTTTGAGCATGTCCCACAGGGTGCTCTATTTCTCTTAGGACACAGCTCTAGTTCTTACAGGTGCTTTGATGAAAATTTACCTCGAAGAAAAAAACCTATGTAATAGTCTGATAAAATGATATGTGGTTTATTTAGCTCTGTAAAATCATATTCAATTATTTGCTATATATATATTTTTTGCATCCACACATGGTTTGTGGGATATCTCCCACAAAGAATATATATATATATATATATATTGCTATGGTATGGTTTGTGGGTTCCTACCCACAAGTATGTTATATATAATTATCTACTATATATCGCATCTGCCTTCTTTTTGAGTATGCCCCATAGGGTGCACTTACCTCTTAGGAGACAACTTTGATGAAAATTTACCTCAAAGAAAAAAACTATATACTAGTCTGATAAAATGATATGTGGTTATTTTAGCTCTATAAAATCATATTCAATTGTATGCTATATATAATTGTTTTTAAATCAAAACATGGTTTGTGGGATATCTCCCACAAAGAATATATATATATATATATTGCTATGATATGGTTTGTGGGTTCCTACCCACAAGTATGTTATATATATTATCTACTATATATATCGCTGTGGGACATATACCCACAATGTAATGACCCACAACGTTATCTATAGCTTTGAAACCAAATATGAGAAAACTTTATAATTTTTCTATATTTGGGATCTACATCAAAAACTATTCTTAAAAATATGTTTCCTTTTGTAATAAGCCTATTACAAATGCAGGGTCCCATAAACCATGTTTATGTGTCATGACCCGCAAACCACGTCAAGTACGTATATATATATATATATATATATATATATATATATATATATATTTAAACACTGAATTGTCTACGGATTTATCCTTTTGCCATATCATGACAAGGAGCACACGGTGGGTGTGATTGGTTTGCAGGGGATGCTTACTCCTCCATGGTACATGATCCCACCTCTGGTGTTTTTTAAGGCCCGTGTTTGCTCTGCTCTCGATTTGAATTGTTTCAATAGACTTGATTACTGTTCGTTATCCTCATGTTTCACTCTATATGAGTGAAAATTCTCGAGTGGGACATTAAACAACATACAATAAATCAATCAATCAACTTCGATACTACAGAGGGAATAAATGCAAGACTTAAATCTTGTGGAAGAAACTTTTACGCTTTAAGGTGAAGGACAAAACATGCGTTTTCACCATTGCCCAGAGTATTCTGTATCTCGTCACAAAACGGGAAAGTAACTTGAAATATATGGAAATAACGAACAGTATTAAAGCTCAAAAGTCCATTAAACAACACAAATCAGGAGCAGAGCAAATACGGACCTCTAAATCATCAAAGGTAGGATCAGATGCCATGGAGGAGTGAGCATCCCTTGCTGACCGATCACAACGGTCACACACATATGAACTCAAAAATCTTGTCAAAAATACACATGTTAGCTTGAATATTTTCTTTAATAATAATATTAACCTTTCTATACTGATTTACGGATTTCCAAAAGATTGCATCAGAGGCTCGTTGTTGCTTGTGTATTCGTGTGTTTATATTCTAAAAATATTGTAATTTTTAGTTTGCAGTTTAAATTATATAAATCTTGAACATCTCGAAGAAGGGATTCTGTCAGTTTTCTGTCTAATTAAAATATTCATTGTATATGTGCATAAATGTTACATGTTTTGCATTTTTAAATTTTCTACAGAATAATTTATTTATTTCACATTTTTAAACAATGAAATCTGAAGATAACAAACAGTAATCAAGTTCAAAATTCCATTGAAACAATACAGATTTGGAGCAGAGCAAACACGGACCTCTAAAAACATCAGAGGTGGTATCAGGTGCCATGGAGGAGTAAGCATCCCCTGTCGCCGTGTGCTCATTGTCATGATCGGGTATATGGAAAATTCCGTAGACAATTCAGTGTTTAAATAATGGCATAACAATTAGTATGAAAAAATATCAGTCAGCATTCAACTTAATGATAGATTGAATTTACTGACAAGGTCATTGTATCGACAATAGAACTTGCGAAATGTTGACTTTAAAAGAGATTGTTAATATCCTTGTTTTATCAACTTGTTTATCAACAACTTCCTTCTTTTTAAAAATTGTTTGTACATGGAGCATGCTTTTGCTTATCGAATCAAATGGTGGATATATAACCCAAAATGCAGGTGATAAGGGTATATTGCTACATAAGTAAGGGAAGTTGACAATAGAAAAGTTAAAGTCATCACGTTTATAATAAAGATTTGCTGTTAGGTTACCATTAACATCTTTAGCATATCAGAAAAAGGGCATAAAACACGGATCCCCGAATTCCAGAGGTAGGATCAGGTGTCTATAGCAGAATTAAGCATCCCCTGTCGACCGGTCACACACGTAGCTAGCCGTTTTGATCAGGTAGATGGAATGTTAAGTTGTCAAATTTAGGATAAAAACAAGGGCCTTACAATTGCTATGAAATATGTCAGTCAAAATACGACCCAATGATAGGTTATATTTGCTAACAAGGTCATTATAACGATGGAATTTACGAAATTCTGACTTAAAACGAGGTTGGAAAAATCCCTATAAATAGTAACTCCATATGCAGGTATAGCTTTTGTTTATGTAGTGTTAAGTTTGTGCGCCGTTGGGACATTTTTAGTTTGTTGTGTATAATGTATAACTAAATTCAAATCATTGTCAAAAACCTTTTAACAGGGTTTTCATGGGTTGGATGTCGAATTAGTTCAAAAATATGGAAATCTTGTTGGGTGAGTTTCACTTTTGCAAAACAAACACGAATACTCTTGCTACATTTTCAATTATATTTTAAGTGTATTGTAAGAAGAGATTGAAGTTTTTATTTAGTCTAAATGAATTCAAAGTTCTGCTTCAAGGTTCTTGAAATTTGATGATTAAAGGTTATTACATAATACATGTAACTATTTTCATGCTTTAAATTGATAATGAAGACAACAGTTATGTTATCCTTAATTGAAAGGTCATTTGAAATTCAAATTAACGGAATCACCAGACTGTCATTTCTTTTAACAAACTTTGCAGGCTGTATTTCGGGAGTCAGCCTTCCATTATGATATCTGATCCGGATCTTATTAAGAGCATCATGGTGAAGGATTTTTCCAAAGCTCCTAATAGATTTGTGGGTGATATTTTAAAATGCTTAATATTGCATGTTAAGTGATTAAAACGTTATATATATATATATATATATATATATATATATATATATATATATATATATATATATATATATATATATATATATATATATATATATATATATATATATATATATATATCCCATGTTTACCCCTTTATCCCGTGGATATGACTCATTGGATATTTTTTTCATATCCCACAGTTAAGTGCAGTTGTGACGTCACAATGGTTTTAGCGTTAGCGTGATGAAGTAAAATAAAGTGTAGTCCTATATAAAACAGTGTAAAACATTGGTTGTGAAGTAGTAAACATGGGATAAAAAGAATCTCCCATGATTTGTAGTTGGATATGACTTTTATCCAACTCGTTGCCAAGGCTCGGGGATAAAGAAAAACACACAACTCGTTGGATAAAAATCATATCCAACTACAAATCATGGGAGATCCTATATATATTACTGTTCGTAAAATAATTAACTTAGTCTTCCAGGACCAGCTGTTTTTAGATAACATATTTTTATAGTCCTTGGTTGAACAACGAAGCGAGCTGAAGCATTCCTTAACAGAAGTTGTAGATGATCATTGGCGATTTATACGAAACACCATACTGCCAACATTTTCCAGCGGCAAACTAAGACACGTGAGATCCCCTTGTGTGCTAATATGCAATTTTATAAGTTATAAATGAAAATATATGAAAAGTGATGCGCATGGAAGTTCCGTTTTGAGCTTTCTTTTAAACGTTCAACTTAGTAATTACAGAACAACACGCCCATTTCTTCAGAAAGGAGAAAATTTTCTTCAATCGAATACCTGTAAAACAGTTGTTCTATAAATAATTTTAAATACAAAAGCCAATCAGATTGGCAGCCTACATAAACACCGATAATCGATATACGTCTTGTTATATTTTCAATAATCATGATAAATACATAATTATTGACGTGTTCGATACACAGATACAATGCTTGAATTTTACAAAAGCAGGGAGTCCCTAACTCTCTCTCTAACTTAATGGGTTTTTTTTTTTATTGTTGTTTAACGTCCCTCTCGAGAATTTTTCACTAATATGGAGACGCCACCACTTGCCGGTGCAGAGCTGCAAATTTTGACCTATACTCGTCACTCAGGGCCATTGAGCTGTGAGGGATCTTTTTCTTGCCAGCACCTACTGCTACACGGGACCTCGTTTTAAACGGTCTCATCCGAAGGACTAGTCTCCACGTCCCACACTGGGCTCCTAAAAATTCCCAATTTCAGCAAAACTCGCATTGCTTGGCAGAGAGAAAGGGGTGTCTTAAAATACTTAAGAAATGGGCCTGTCATTATATAACACTCGGCATTCAATGAGAAAGACCAATACTTTCTATTCAAACGAAGAATTTTGCCACTTCAATGCGCATCATTGTATGTTGAATCTTTCATAAAAAAGGTCTGCGATTCGTTTATTTAGATTCAATATTCAATGAACAAAATAGATTCATAAAGTCATCGCTTATAATTCAATTTTGGTGACAAACATGCAACTTCTCATGTACATTCTCATTATTTAACAACTTCGAGAAATAGTGCGACAATTTTACTTGCCGCAGATTAAAAATATACCTGCATGTGCTATTTTCAAAGCGATTGTAACATAAAACAGGCAGACACGTATATTTACTTTTTGTCAGTAAGCTTGATTTAAATCAAGAAAAGAGCATCATCATTCTTTTGGGAGAGTGTTAGTATATAATTATGCCATTCTCTTTTACATTGCTGCATCGTTGTAAACACTCGAGTTGATTGATCACAGTAAAAACTACTGCAAAAGTAGTCCGGCAACTGTCTAAAAATGATATTCATCGACAAAATTAATGAATAAAAATAAATGATAATAGAAATCCATTGGTTCAAAAGGATGAAAGTAAGGAAACTTTACTTATTTTAATGTGATGTATTTTTTTTTTTTTATCTTTTAAAGATGGGATTTCTTTTGAAAGAGAAATATAAAATGTTACTGGAAGGATTGACTAAGAATGTAGAACAGGGGAACGTCATTGAATTTAAACAGTATGTACATGTGTTTGTTGTTAAGATGTGTGATACTTTAAAATTTGTGTTTGTTTTGAAAATATTCTATTGACAATATATCAAAGGGGAAGTTCCAAAAATTTAGATAGTCGTCTCCCTATACATTAAATCTGAATAGCTATACAACATTTACAAGATTTACATAACATACATGTGCATAGAAAAACAAAAGCAATCGTTTTTAATTATGATGAATAATTTAGTTTTGTTTGTAACGCGTCATTTGACTGGATGAAAAAAAAAGTTTATATCGTACTGTAGATCACCAAATCTTCGCGACACCTTACTTCAGCGATATATGTATACTGTATATAACGTATACTAACAAAATATCCGCGAGAAGTAAATTTTCGTGAGCAGACCATCTCGCGTAATTACGCGAAATAAAGTTCTTGCGAATAAAAAGTGATTTACAGTATTACCTGTGTTGCCTTCGTCACAATGACTTAAGTCAAAAACGTATCAATCCGCTTGACGTTATATTTAAGATAATTACAATTTGAGGTCATTTTTGAAGAAGAAATTGGCTTATTTTCTACACTTAATGATGGAAAATCAAATTATATGAAATGAATTTAATAGCTCCCCAGTTTAAACTGGTATAACCTGGGTTCGAACAGTTTACCCTTTTTAATAAACCGCTTCGCAGTTTATAAAACGTAAACTGCCCCAACCCAGGTTATACAATATAACTTGGGTAGCTATTAAATTAATTCCTTAATATAATGATGACGATGATGATATAGATATAACAATAGTTTTAAAAGAGGTAATACAAATAAGTACTAATTAAAACGATGCGTATTATGAATACATTTTCATGAAAATTCTTATTAACATCTATTCCGATTTATAGTAATTCATTGATCATATTTTCCAAATAGAAAAATGAAAATCTAGATCATAATATAAAATTTTATGATATTTTAGGGTATTTGAAAATTATACAATGGACGCTATTGCCTCCCTTGGTTTTGGAATGGAGATCGATTGCCAGACAAATCCTGAAAACATGTTCGTAAAACACGCTAAGGAAGTGATAGGAGTTAACATCTCTCCCTTTTTTATTCTTGCAGGTATAGACACCAATACTTGCCTCTATTGCATTAAGGTCTTCACAATTCCTTTGAAAGACCTTAGTGTTTCCTTCTGTTCTCTATTATTATTCCCTATTCATAGAACGATTTCTCGTAAACAATCGACCTTTTTAAATATTTTTACTGGAATGATGCATCACGTAAATACCTCTTGATTATTTATTTTTTTTATTTCTTTGACAAATCACTCATGGTCGCATTTTTTTTATCCGATTTTCATATTTCAAATTGTCATTTTGTCCTTTTCTTTAAAAATTACTCAGGAGAGAATCATGATGTTTTCAGGGCAGATACAATGTTTAACTGAATATATATATATATATATATATATATATATATATATATATATATATATATATATATATATATATATATATATATATATATATATATATATATATATATATAGGATATTCAATGTTTTGTAGATGAATATGGAATTTATTTCACGAGTGGGACAGGATTTTTTTGATATTTTCACGAGTGCGAAGCACGAGTGAAAATATCAAAAAATCCTGTCTCACGAGTGAAATAAATTCCATATTCATCTACAAAACATTGAATTTTCTGTTTATTACATTTTCTTTGATTTTCCCTTTGCCTCTGTTATTTCTTAACACAGTGTCTTAGGCCTGACGTCATAGTTGAGCGGTTGAAACGTCATAGCTTAGAAGTTGTGTGTCAGATTGAAAACATTACATAGCATGGATTTTAGCAACATATTTAGGAAGAAATTTGCAGTTTTAGCTCTATCAAGATGCTTAGTTACTATCTCTATCTTATGACAGGCCAGAAATTATTTTTTTACTTACTTTGATATCCTTTCACACTGTGAGAGAATAGCATTTTTGGTATCCTTTCACACTGTGAGAGAATATCACTTTTATTCAATGAATAAATCACAGTATTTCACTGTTGAAAATGTAATAAATATATATAATTGATCTAAGTGCATAAAGAACTAATGTACATATTAATTATCAACACCTAAAACAATCCTCTGAAAGTACTTCCAATGTTATCCGTAAGTACTCGAAAAAGGAAGCTTTTTTCTAAAATCTCTAAAAACATTAGAAATAGTATAACACGATTTGTCAAGTAGGTTTATGTTTTTTCCTGGCCTTTGTGACTTCCGACTTCAACCGGAAGTGACGTCTTCACGGCCGAAAATGTCTAAGTCAAGACCGAATGTTGTCGAAATTTGAATCTTTCATTTAATTTTCGGTAATTTTATTCTTACGTAAACAAAAACAACAGCAAAGAAACCTTTGAACACATTACTTTCGACGCTTATCGTCCGTCGGAAGACCTTATCGTTGGTTTGCAAATAACTTTGCTCTAGTTCTCACTAATTTTCAAATCTCAGAATTTTTTTTTCTCTTTATTAGTTCTGTTTCCACCACTTGATAAACTTTTGGATTACTTTAAAATTTCACCTCTGAACAACCGCAACAAGATGGAATTTTTCAAATCTGTTGTGCATCGGGCAATCGACATGCGGGATAACACAGACAGAGTATGCTTATTAAAATAACACTATTTACCTATTACTTCAATATTATAACACTTGAAAGAAAAACACAAAAGAGAAATAAAAGTGTGTTGAATAATCATGTCTATACGAATATTACAAAAAACTACACAGGAATATTAATTTACTTAGAAAATAAAATGACGTCTTTTGTTGTTCATTTGGGAATGAATGTTAAAGGTGTTGTAGAAAAATGATTTTTTCTGCAATAGCTGTAATATTTTGAATTCTAAAACTGACAAACAAAGAAAGACATTTTATTGATTATAAATAGTCTTATAAAGTAAGATTAAAGACGTTAAATAATGTATTGTTGATATTTACGTCATTGTGTTTCATTGATAGAAAAGCCACTGCTCAAGAAATCCATATAGGAGACTTGCTTAGCGACATTAAAGCATTGATAAACGACCGTGTTTTTCTAAATTATTAAATGATATAATATTCAGCGGATTTAGATATAAAAGAAATACAAGCTTTCAAGTCAGTAGGCCTACTTATCATTCTCTTCATCATCTTTCTTTACCAATAAACAACAACCATTACATCACAAAGGACAGAAAAGATATGTTACAACTTATGTTGAATGCCCATAAACTCACCGACAAAAATGAGATAGAGGACTCCCAAGCATATGAAAATCCTGAGGAATGGAAAAAGAGAGGTAGGATTCATCAGTTATTATGTTGATGGTGAATTCTACATTGGAACTTCTGATTTGGTATTCACTTGTACACCTCTCTCTCTCTCTCTCTCTCTCTCTCTCTGTGTGTTAAAGCATTGTTAAGAGTGAGAATGTGTACAGAGTATATCATTCATGAGTGTAAAAAAGCATTTAAAAGTATAAAATCAAGTGGATGCTGTGCGTATATTCTGTTCTAGATAAACTAAGATCTACATGTTCTTTTTGTTATTTACATGTGCATGAATTTAATGTTATTTATTATTTAATGTACTTGGGTTTTCCCCTCTTGGGCACATTCCAATCTTTTCCTATAACTCTTCATTCTGTTTGTTAAAACTGTTCATTTTTTTTTAACTGTCTATTCTTAAAAAGAACGGACAATTTTTTTTTAAAGAATGGACACTTAACTTAATGGATTGTTTGAGGTGTTAGCGCAACAATAAGTTTTAGAATAGACATTTCCAACCAAACGTTTACATCAAATCCTGTTTAAAATATATAAATTGAATTTGCAGGTTTAACAATCGAAGAGATTACTGGAAATTCTATTTTATTTCTAATGGCCGGTTATGAAACAACCGCAAGCACTATGACTTTTATCGCATATAACCTGGCGACAAACCAAGAGTGCCAGGATAAATTGTTAAATGAAATTGACACAGTTCTAAAACAAGTGAGTTTTAAAGTAATTCATTAAATCGACGCAGCTCTATGATAACTGAATTTGTACATTAAATCAGAATAAATTCATTTGGCAAAATAATCCCCTTATCTTAAAAATAATTTTTAGGAGCTGCCAACATATGACAACATCCAGAAGCTGGAGTACCTGGATAAGGTGTTTAACGAGACACTTCGTCTGTACCCACCAGCCGTTAGGTAAGGACAAAGATCTAATTATATACTGGTCATATAGTCCATCAAAATGAGGAGATTTAAAAGAAACTGAAACAATATGATATGTTTTACATAACTTCAGTATTGGTTTATTGCTCGTGTGATAAAGGTAATTGTTGACAGTGAAGGAAATGCTCTTCTGTTATGTACTGTGTTAATACAATCTGTAAGTAAATCTGTAAAGTAAATTTACAGCCTTTTGTCGGTATGGCATGATTTGTACTGATTTCAGTGCATTTACCTCTTGTCTTATTTTGACTGGTACGATAATGTACAATCCACTGTTTTACCTCTTGTCTTATTTTGACTGGTACGATAATGTACAATCAACTGTTTTACCTCTTGTCTTATTTTGACTGGTACGATAATGTACAATCCACTGTTTTACCTCCTGTCTTATTTTGACCTACTGGTACGATAGTGTACAATCAACTGTTTTACCTCTTGTCTTATTTTGACTGGTACGATAATGTACAATCAACCGTTTTCACTGTTTTCTCAATTGTTTTCAATCAAAACACAATTTACTTCACCATGCAGGTCAAACAGAATCAATTCGAAAGAAATTGATGTGGATGGGGTAAAGATTCCACCCAAAACTGAACTGATTTTTCCTATTTTTGCGATACATAGAAATCCTAAGCATTGGCCAGAACCGGAGAAATTCGATCCTGAACGGTATGCAATTCCATTTTTCTTTCTTGATACCGAGAGACCTATAGATACTGTGATGATTAGTGAAAACGCAGTCGACTTAGATTTAGGGCTAAAATGGAATAAGCTGTCGTACCTCACAATGGACTACTCTTAAGGGTATATAATAAACCACACTCTAAGATTCGGGTAGCTCTGATGCAGAGCGGCTCGTGGTAAGACGAAATGAAAGTAGTCAGGAAAGTAAGTCAGAAATAATTAAGAAAGGGCAGAATTATTTGATTGCACCAGTGGCAATAATCCCGGAGAACTGAGGCAAGATACTGGGTGCTGTAAATCTGAAGAAGATTGAAACACCTAGTATCCGCTATCAATAGGAACCTGGGGTAAGGTACACAGTGCCACGCCTGGTGTTACCCTGTTGCTCAGTTAGCATTCACCACACCTTAGAAATAGTAATATTTACAATGATTAATAAAGATATGTTTGTGAAACACGCCCCCGCATGGCAGCTCAAGGCCAAGTTTAATGTTTATCAAATGTTGGAAAATCTCCAAGGTCAAAAGTTCAAGAAAGTTGATTCCCAAACAAAGGTCTTATCACAAGGAATACACATGTGAAATATAATATCCCCAGTACCAACCACTCAGAAAATATGACCAAGGAAACATGAGATACACATGTGAAATATAGAAATCCTAGCTTCAACCGTTCAAATGTTATGGCCAAGTTTAAAGTTTGTTAAATTTTTGCAAAAGTGAGTCAAACTCCAAGGTCAAGAGGTCAAATATGTTGGTACCCAAAGAAAGGTCTTATCACAAGAAATTTTGACCCTTGACCTTGACCTTTGAGATAGACTTAATTTTGAAAAAAGCTTAAAAGAATGGTGCTAGGGCATATTTTACATGCATAATTCTTTCGACAAGACCTTCCCTTGGGTACCGACAATTTTTATCTTTTAACACTGGAGTTTGACCTACTTTTGAAAAACTGTAACCCTTTTCATAACTTTTGAATGATTGGTGCTAGGGCATCATTTATTTTGACCCTGTGATCTTAAACTTGGAACTGAACCTACTTTTGTAAAACTTTAACCTTGGTCAAAACTTTTGAATGGTTGGCTCTTGGGCTTTCACATTTCATAGGTGTATTCATTGTCACAACGCTTTTTGTATCTCCCGATATCTACGGCACACCAATTTCAAGTCAAATTTGCGACTTTTATTCTTAGGTTTACCTCAAAAAATAAAGAGAGCCGTCATCCTTACACCTTTCTGCCGTTTGGTCATGGTCCCAGAAACTGCATTGGACAACGCTTAGCAGGCATGGAGGCTAAATGTGGCATTACGTATATACTTCAGCACTACCGATTCGCTAAATGTAGCGAGACTGAGGTGAATTGTAGTAAAATTCAAATTTTATAAAAGATGAGCTCGAATACTGTTCGTTATCTCCGAATATTTTATGAACACTTCATCATTTTTTTTTTTTACAGATTCCTCTCCAACTGAGGAAAAACGGCTTACTGAAACCGGCAAATGACGTTAAACTTAAATTGGAAAAAAGAATACCGACACATTTAAACAGTGAAATCTAAGAACATTTTTGCAATATATGTGTTGTGTACTTAATTGTATAACATTGTACATCTTTTAAAGACATTTTTTCCTAAGAGTAGTATTTGTACAAATATTTTTCGATTTTATCTTAACGAGTACAAACCAATAGATTACGCAAATGACATTCCTGCTGTATTAAAAAATATTATGGATCTTACAGATATTTTTTGGAAGATAAAGTATAATCTTTATTGTTTTTCTTATTTTTTTACTAATGAATTGCCATGGCCGATGACATTTTCATTTATTGAGTTACCCTTATGACAATTCGAACTGTGTACCTTGTTGTCTAGGGGACAAATAAAAACGGTCTTTTTTGCAGAATCTAATATCAATTTGCTACTGCGAGTTTTTGGTTCTCCAGAGAACGATGCCTTGATGCCACTATATAGATGTGCAAATGATCTGGAAAACCAGTTTTATCTTAGTTGGACAATTTTAATAAATTTGATATGTCCCAGAAGAAAATTTATGTCACTTTTAATTTGTAAATAACCTTTTCATACATTTTTTCTGACACATTCATAAATTATAAACCAGTTGTAGTAATGAAAAATAATTATACAAGTATATTAACTGGAACGGCTGGTTCAGTGCATATGCACATGCTTGACCAATCAATAAATATTTAAGATTTTAAAATAACTCACACACACACACACACCCTCACACACACACACACCCTCACACACACACACACACACACACACACACACACACACACACACACATATATATATATATATATATATATATATATATATATATATATATATATATATATATATATATATATATATGCAATGCGGCCATTTAATGCCAATTCCCTGATGTCCATCACAGTTATGAGTAATGCAAGATTTTTTTTGTTCAAGTCTTTAATAAATGTAATGAAAATTATACAGCTGTTGTCTATTGTAAAGCTGGCACCAGGGAAAGATCATGATGACCCTATGTGTAAGAAGAATCAAGTAACAATGCATGTCAGGTCCTGCGGGGCAGTGATTATCTGACTGTTCAATATATATATATATATATATATATATATATATATATATATATATATATATATATATATATATATATATATATATATATATATATACAATATTTTTTTACTTTCTGTAGCTACGCTTTTTTAAATGTATTTTTAACAAAAATGTCAATGGTAATTCTTTCCTCTTTATATGGCAAGTCAAACGTTGCAATATTCGATCTTTTCCATTTGCATTGTAAAATTTTCCATTTGTTTTGTAAAATTTTGATTTGTATTCTATAATTTTCCACTTGTATTGTAAAATTTTTTATTTGTATTCTATATTTTCCATTTGTATTTGTAACAAAAATCCATTTGAATTGTTTATAATTTTCCATTTGCATTCTATATTTTTCATTTGCATTGTATAATTTCTTATTTGTGTTGTAAAATTTCTTATTGGTATTCGATACCTTCGGTGAAGGGTATTCATGTTTGTTCAAATAAAGAGCCATGGTCTTTTGAAAGGAAAGGTTATCAAGGAATGTCAAAAGTGAATGGATGTCATACGAACTATTCTTCTCAAGAATCACTGGGTCAAAAAAACCGAAACTTATTTTAAAGCTCCTTTACATAGTGTAAGTTTAAGTTTGTTTAAATCATGGCCACTAGGGGTAGGGTAGGCATTGACGGGGATAAAAGTGGAAATGTATAGAAAAATTTGTTTTTAAACCTTCAACTATAGCAGAATCATGATATGTGATATGAATATGCAAGTATCATCAGGTAGTGCAGATTCAAGTTTGTTCAAAACATGGCCCCTGTGGAAAAAAGGGGACCATAATCGGGTATCAAAGTTTTACATAGAAAATTACTAATATAGGAAAAAATCTACAAAATCTTCCTTTCATGAACAAAAGAGCTATGGACAGTGACATTAATATGCAAAGATTATGGTGGTGTCAGGTCGTGTAGATTCAAGGTTTTGACCCCGGGGGGAGCAAGGGACTAAAATAGAGAATTAAAGAAAAAAATCTTTTAAAAAATCTTGTAAAGAACAACATCATCATGATTGGTTATAGTATTATGCAAGCATCCTTAGTGCAGTGTAGTTTCAAGTTTGTACAAATCATGGCCAATAGGTCGAAATTTTATCTTGACTTTTTTTTCAATATATCTTCATTTTTGGCAAATCTGTTGAAAGAATGTAAATCATATAGGGTACCAATTTTGATGCACCAGATGCGCATTTCGACAAATTATGTCTCTTCAGTGATACTCAAGCCGAAACGTTGGAAATCCACAATATTTAAATAAAAAAGACTTGGAAGAGCTGAAAAAATGCCAAAAATTGGAGCCAAATACGTCGAAGGAACAGAGCTATGTGTTTTGTTCTAAAAATATTACCTAAAACCTATATTCAATAGTCCTTGCATATCGAAAAAAAATCCCTGAGTGAAAATATGTAGGGCTAATGTTCGGAAATAGAGAATTAGACAAATGTGTAAATTTGGAGAATTTTCTTCTAAATATCCTTCCACCACGAGAAATATCCCTCCCCCCGTAGGGCTTATTTCTTTACAATTGTCTCAGAAGTTTTAAAATTGAATATTGTATAATTTGCAATGTTTATTTCAAATATGTTATAAAAAATGAATTTTAAGGAATAATTTTGACTTAAGAGGTTTGGACCTAACTTTCTTTTTCAAAAGTTAAAATGAAAAAGGGTGAAGTGACGAACAGTGATCGATCTCATAAAAACTTCAAACAATACAAATCTGTGAACAGGGTATACACACGGACCCCTGGAAATTCCAGAGGTGGGATCAGGTGCCTAGGATGAGTAAGCATCCCTGTTGACCGGTCACACCCGCCGTGAGCCCTATGTATTGATCAAGTAGACGGAATATTCCGAAGTCAAATTTAGTAAAAAAAAAAAAAACAAAAACCAAAGGTATAACAATTAATAGGCAACAAGTCAGTCAAAATACGACCCAGTGTTAGGTTATATTTGCTTATAAGGTCATTATAACGACCATAGAATTTACGGAATGCTGACTTTAAACTAGGTTGTTGAAATTTCTGAAACATCAACTTTTATGTGAGTAGCCTGCCTCGGATTAAAAATTGATCGTACTCAGAGCATGCTTTTGAGTAGCGAATAAGTTGGGAGATATAAACACCATATGTTATTGACAAACAAGTTGATGAAACAAGAATATCAACAGTCTCGTTTAAAGTCATCATTTCGTAAGTTCTATGATCGATACAATGACCTTGTCAGCAAATACAATCTATTATTAAGTCAAATGCTGACTGACTTTTTTCATACTATTTGTTAGGCCATTATTTACACACTGAATTGTCGACGGATTTTTCCGTTATTTCCTGATCATGACAAGGAGCGCGCGGCGGGTGTGACCGGTGTCGCATAATATTTGATCCGCCTCGTTTAAAGGTCCGGGGGGACCTAATACGATAACATATAAGGTCCGGCCTGCCTCTATAATAAAAGGTCCGCCTTCGGTTTAATATGCAGATTTTTCTCCTTTATTGATTCGAAATTAATTTGCTTAATTAATCTTTTTTAATTATTTAAGGTATAGTTGTTATAAAAGTGTCCCTCCCAGCAAAATGGAGTTCCAGGGACGTACATGTATGTACATTGTATATATACTAACAGAATCTAGTCTTGCGATATCTCGCTAGTTGCTGGATTTCGTAAGTCAATTTTAATTAATTATATTTCTAATACTATGATATATTTCAGTACAAAACCTCAAATTATCTATCAAAAAATTATTCAAAATTTGATGTTAGCACTGATTAACTGTTAGCTCCTCATCGTAGTACATACCTCCCAGGTACTGCACAAAACAAAAATTATAAAGATGCAAAGATCTGTTGATCGAGTTACCTTATGGGAAAATCATGTACAACTTGTGTCTTTTATAGTTTAAGTGATATCAATATTATCATTGCAAAATAAAAAAAAAAATACATATATATAATACGTATACCTTCACTGGCACATTGTTCAGTATATAGTGTTCGTAAGTCCAATTAACAATGATCATTTCATTACAGTTTCTTTCCTAAAATCGTTCGACTTCCACTTCCATAAAAGGATTTTCATATCTTTCGAAAGATATTTCATTATATTATTAATAATAATTATGCATAATTCTTACGATTCATATTGTACCTAACTATAAAATAATTGGAGGGTCACTGTGACAGGGACTAGTGTTAAGGGGTACTAGCCTATCCCGTTGTTGTTAAAACAACATGTCTGTCCATTGGGGGTAGGCCTATTGTCTCACTTGACGAAACTTGAAGCCGCATATCCCCCATGTTTTTATAACCACCGTTTCTTATCCAGTTAAAGACTAACGATTATTTCATTCTACTTGACATTACCCCGGGATTAACACTGGTTAAGGAAGATGTGCATTAATTGGCAAGATCAAATCAAAGTCAATCGAGTTGAACATTTTAAGCAATAAAATACCCCCCCCCCCCCAAAAAAAAGAAAAGATTATAAATGGTCTTGTTGTATTTTTGGTGGGTGGGGTATAGCAAAATTATGCTGATACATGTCAAATAGTTTAAAAAGTACTGATATTGTAGACTTTCCTCCCGCATTAATATTTTTCCCGGAAAAACGAGCTTGGGTTTAAAGACCCCCCCCCCCCTTTGGAAAATGAGCCTAGCATAGGATTTATTTCCGGATTTTTTTTTAAATATTGTTCATTTCATTCCCTACGTTTTGTAGTTTTCATTTCTGACATTTTAAAATTTTCATCTCTGACATTTATCACCATAAAGTACTTTTCCGGCAATGAAAACAGAATTGAAATTTCCCTTATAAAAAAAATTAAAGAATAAATCAAGAATAATTCATTGATTTCCAAATAATAAGTTCTGCTTATATTCAAAAGAAGCTTATGATGATTTTATCCTCGGACACATGTAAGTCTTGTGAATTTTTTTTCATCTTTTCAAATCAACATAATCAGATTGAATTGGTTAAGATAGAATTTATGACATAGAGAAACTATGTTTGAGGGAAAGAAGTAATAAAAGTTGAGGGGATTCTGTTTTTCGGTGCTTTCAAACACATATAATTTAGTGGGCATTAAAATTTGGTGATCAAAAATTGCATGTTTTATTATTGAAATTATTGCATTTTATTACTAGACTTTGTATTTTTACTAGACTTAGTGTTGATTGTATTGTAAAATGAAAACAAAAAATGATGGAAATGCAATGCATAATTTCGGAAAATTTTTTAATGACATGCAGCGAGCTTGGAAGGAACAACCCTGGCTTTATTATCCACCATAGGAAATACTCAGTACGCTTCAGTACAGAATTTTCTCCTTTTCCACCTTCTTACTAGGGAGAATCTTATCCACCAATACTATTTACAGAGGGGTTTTACAGAGCAACTTGACATGTATTTCCCCCTAAAGTAAAAAGGAAAGTGTCTGTTGAGATCGTGGCCGATATAAAAATTCATAAAACACCACCAAGTCGTGTTCTTTTGTTAATATTTTTATATTTATTTTGATTTTGGTTTAAATTAGATTTTCTACGACTTTTAGCGGCTATTTCTTCTTTATTTTATTTATGTGTGTGTGATGGGGAGGGGGGGGGGGTGTTGTAGTTCTCTTGTTGCACGTCATCAACATTACTAATTAAATAATAATATATATCCTTGGTCCCTTCAGACAGATGTT